TACCTCTGTTGTTGAAAAACTACGAAGCAAATCGATCTCACTGCACTGGTTCGGTTACTATCAAGGCTCTGGACTGGGCTTCTCCTGAAAAAGTCCCAGACGTGGATCTAGTAATTATGGTGGATTGTATCTATTATCTGGATAGCATAGACTGCCTCATAAATACTCTTAGTCTCTGTAAAACAGCAGAAATTCTTTGTGTTTATGAAAAAAGAGATATTGGTGAACCCGTAATTGCTCAAAAAACTTTCTTTGACAAGATTGTACAATTTTTCAAGATCAACACTGTGCCTAACTCGGACCTTCATCCCGATTACTCATGCTGTGATGAAATTTCTGTGATAAAGCTGTTGAGGAAGTATTCTGAAGTTGTACTTTTAACCACAGTAATTACTACTGCACCGCTGCCTATTTAAACTTCACTGCGCTTCGTATGGCTTTCATTTTTCGAGTATCGGTTATTTCGTAGCCCAGAATGTATCGAGACCCTACGACTTCTTCCAACTATGATCAAATAAAAGTAACACATTACTCACTTGATTGGAAAGTCGATTTTGTGGAGAAGAGAATCGCCGGTTCAATATTGATGACCCTGAAGGCTTTGACTACTGTGGATAAAGTTGTAAGTTTGTTAGCCTTCTTCTATCTGTTGTTGGAGATTTTCCCCTTTTTCAAATTTGCATTGGTGTAATTCTTAAACTGAAGGCTTGCTAGTGTACCTTTTGAATGCTGAACCCTTCCTAGGTTCTCGATATTCATAGCCTGGAAATCTCCTCGATAGAACTGGATGGACAGGGCTTGAAATTTGACGTTGAAGCAGGGACGCCGATTGGAGAAAAACTAATCGTTCACTTGTCACCGCTATCTGAGGGTCAAGAAATGTGGGCACATCGATATAACTAGCGTTTCTTTTTGTTCTTAAATTCAAAATTTAGAAAAATTGAGATCAAGTACTCGACAGCCAAAGAAGCAGCGGCTCTTCAATTTCTTGATAAAGATCTAACTGCTGACAAGAAGGTAAACCGTTTACAAAGTTACGTATTGTAATTGCTTTTGTTGTTTTCTTAAAGTTGCAATTAATATTTATAATATTCCTTTTTTT